GCAGGGCGTATTTCACGGGTGGCTCGTAACTGTCTGAATGCTAAAGTTTCCTGTATCCGTCCTCAAGGACAGCTTAAGGAAGTCTTGCTTTTTTTGTTATTTTTTCGTTGCTTGTCTGCTACACACCCTCACTGAAGGCACAGTCAATCGAGCACCTCACAGAATGTATCTGGTGGTTTTTGTGGTGTCGGGAAATTCTGTTTTCTTTTCTCTTTTGGATCAGTGACATTTCTTTTTTTTCTTTTTTTTAAAGTTTGGTTTGCGAGTGGTTGTGTGTGGTGTGTGGGAGAGTGTTGGCCATAGCCTCTGCTGCTACTCACTGAGGGGTGGGGGACGATGAGAAAGGGAGGCGCAGCTACTGGCAAAATGCTCGGTCTTTGCGTTAGCCGGAACGCCACCGGCGGCCCCACCCCATCTCTGACTACCGCTGTTGGGGCGGGGGGCAACATGCAATCCCTTCCTTGTGAGGTAGCTATGCTTGCAAGGGTCCCCTCTATATAGTCTTAGGACCAGTGGTAGGAAGGTAGTGAAAGGCAAAAAGAAGACACCGAGAAGAACATAGAAAGGAAATCTTGAGGGGCCGGGGAACCCACAATTCAACCCGGTCAAACTCTTGGCAGCATTAGCCAGTTTATGCTTTCCACGGGACCGCTGGACCCGATTTGGGACCATTTCTCGATTTATGCATGTCATCCTTCTGGAGGGGCCATGCTAAGCTTCTCTGTAACATTGGGCCTCGTTCCACTACCCTCGACTTGAAAAAAATCTCAAGGGCAGCCCTGCGGGCGCCCTTGAGCCAAAACGTAATTAAAAAATACTAGAGGTCGTCGTCGTTCCACTACACCCTGCAGTTCCCGCTCGCAAACGGCGCGGGAAAATGTGGGCCCCTGTTCTGTGGGGAATTTTCACATCGCAGGGCCAGGACAACCCCGATTGGCAAAAAAAAAAAAAAGAGAAGGACCGGACCGGGGGGCTGAACTGCTGCCTAGCGGCGCATATTGCCACCGTTTTCAAGAAAACTGAAGTCACCTCCGGGAGGTGACTTGAAAATTGGCCGAAGTTGCCTCGGCACCCTACGGGAACGGCGCCGCCCTTGAGATTTTTTCAAGT